AAAGTGAAAAAGTCGGAAAATAGCAATTTTGTAACTAAATCAAGAAATAAACGAGTATAGTATACGTTTTCTTCGATTCGTTTATCCTCTCTCGAAAATTTTTCAAGGATTAAAAAATGTGCAAATGTTTTTGCATCAAAGAAATTTCTTCCTGTAGCAACAGACGATAAATATCTGTATCATGGAAATTAGTATCATTTTCATAGTCATCATCATCCATATGTTGTATTGGGGAAGAGTGTTTTCTTAGAATCACTAACATGCCATAATACAAACTCTCATTTGAGTGACGAACTAGCAAGAAGGCAAATTTATCGTTAAGAAGACTTCCAGCTTCTTCTCAACGACTTATAAATCTTCATCTGCTTTACTAAAATGAAATCCATATTCTAATCTAGGTCGTTGTGCTTAGGAGGATCTTCCAATGCTTCACAAATATTTCCTGGTTCTTCATCTTCTCTCTCGCCTTCCTAATGGCATAATATCATATGCTGTTTGTTCAACCATCGCCTCATCGTCGTCACTGCTAGAAAACGTTTCAGAATCGATTTATAATGCAATTATGTGTTACTTTTCAGACATGCGATGTAGTCAAACGGGAACTACAACCTGCACTTTTTTTACAACCGTTATCGAAGAATTTGCCCCCAACTGTCAACCATTTCAACAATACCACTTTTAAATCCATGCTTTTTTGACATATCTCTTCCAAACACGACCTCTCTTATATCAACGGTACGTTAACAGCACATTTCGTCGATTAATTGTATTTGCCGTGATGTAATATATGTTCTAGGGATTTTACTGTTCTTTATGTTTTATGGTTCTCAAGAAGGTCCACTTTTTCATTTTGCCTCTTTCAAAGGTTTGTCAAAGCACTTTCTTATTTTCTCGTATTCTGAACAAAATTCTGGACGAATCCTTTATGATTCTGGTTCAGATACGCGTTAACGGGCTACTGATCGGCGTCACCGCTACTGAAGTCTGAGAAATCTTCCACGTCTCGTCGATCAACACGTGATGTCACAATACCTACAAGATCCATTCTCTACATGTCCACACTTCTGCAGAGGTCCACGTTGTTCCCAAAGACTCTACCGTCGCTTTGTCTCTCTTTATATCGCTGTCTTATAGGGGGCTAAAATCTACCAAAAATTGCAAAAGGCGTTAACATCACCAGATCTGCTGGCTCTACCACGAGTCAGCCACGCCTATTTCTAGCTCATCCTTATAGATGACGTTAGTAAATTTATCTCAAATGCTTGTAGGTCCTAATGAAGGGCTAGAATTCTCCATAATACGCATGTGAAAAAAAAAACATCCTTCACTACTTGTCGAGGAGCTCTCCATTAGGTGTCGTAGACGCTGATCTTCATTCAGTTACAAGTCACTCATTACTGCTATCAATGCTTCATCTGCTGGTTACTGATGATCTACCCTTAAGCAGTCCGCTAGTCTTGGTGTTTTCGAGAATGTGTTTGTAATTCGTTGAAATTTTTTTAAAATTTGTAATAGCTTTTATCTTGAAGGGTACCATGATTTTACGGTAGTCATACGGTTCGCTAATTGTTTAACACGATGAGAATGTTTTGCATTAGGCAACAATTACTAGCAAATCTGCTGTGGCGTATGAGTGCGACGCTGACTCGACAAATCTGCTGCACGTGTTAAGCTGCAATCTGTCGCTCAGTGTCGCTCTCAGTCGCCGTGCAGCTACTTGAAATTGAACGAGTTGCTATGGGTTTTTTAATGTCAAACAGTTCGGTGTCCTCCCTGTTTTTCTTCCACCCCGTCTCTTTCTTGATTACGACCTTATGATGTTGGGTGTTGTCATCCGGTGTTTTCTCTCTCTCTCTCACCATTCAACCGGTGCCGTTTCGTTTCGTGTACTAGGTGTGTTTCATTACATAGACATTCTTCACTGTTCTAAGTCTGTGTCGCGGTGATTCTTTGATTCCAATTGGCCTAACGAGAACGAATCTTCGGCTCATTTGACAGCTGGAATCTTGCTCACAGCGACACAGGTGGCATGTCTCTACCAATTCATTCGCACGCTCGAAAACTGGTGTTCATTCGCATTTTTTTGATTTACCGCTGATACTTTCTCTTATTGTCGTCATATATGACTCTACCTACTCTTGAAACGGATTTATAACTCGAACTTCCAAGTTTGCTCCAAGTTTTGATATTTGCTACTTTATTATGACGTGTATGTGATTTGTTTTTGCAGCACCGATTTTCTTTCGCAGCCATGTGAATTGTCTTGATAGAGAGCTAGCTTCCGCGGGTATGGAAACAATTCTTGAATGAAGATGTCTGAATGCCAACTTCTGTATCATTACAAAAAACAACATTTATTACTGATACATATGTACTTAATTCACACAGAATCGCTTGGTTCAATGGTTGGAGGAGGTAGCATTCGTATTGTCGCCGGACTACTCGGTTTTCGATGGAGGGTTGAGTTTTTGTAGACGAGCTCGGAGACCTGAAGTAAAATTTATGAAATCAAGAGAGAAAGAAAGCGCAAGAGTCAAACTTCCTAATGTTCATTGTAACACCTGTTTTGCGCATTCTCATGATGAATCGGCAAAGTAATTGAGCAAAACCTTCAGAAAGAGCTCCAAAATAGAGCTTCTTCACTTTGAAGTCTTTTGAGAATATCTCGTTCACGGGGAAAAGGAAGTTTGCGTTAAGTCTATGTACACTTCTTTTAATGTTTAGTTTCATACAAAAGAATTTTTTTGAATCCTTACAGGATAAAGACGTCGATAGCCAACACGCATTCATGACAAACTTGTAAATTGAAACGACTGGGATTTACCAGTTGAACTTCCTTCTTTCAAAAACCGCCGCACCTGAATTTGAAGAAGTGGAGAGCGTGCTCAATTCTTACCAAAAACTAGATTTTGAATCTCTTCTACGCCTTGATCATCTTTCTCAGAGATGCTTTAATTTTCTACCTATAAACAATATAGTTTTATATCCTTAGCGATTTCGATAGAACCAGGTATAATTGAAAATGGTGTTGGCGCTCACCTTATTGTAACTTCGGTGCAGCACCTTACTGTACCTACGGTAATCAAATTTGGATTTCTTATACTAGGCGACCTCAGCAGATAAATTTTAAGCAATTCTAGTTATTTTTGGGCTGGGCCAGTGCTAGTGGCGTTTACCACGAGAACTGAAACTACGAACACAGCTCCTTTAACGATCATCAAGGAATAGAAAAGATTTCAGATTAGACGGGTTAGCAAACAGTTGGCATATTTTTCAAGGGATCCCCGTATTCGAAAATTAGTGCAACAACTGTAGAGTAATCTGTTTTTATCCGTAAGAGAAAGGTGCATTCTTACGAAATTTAAGTTAGTCATACTGTAGCCGGCTTCAAGTGATGAAGTAGTATATAATATCATTGCTTGACTCGTTTACTAAATAAAAGCAGAGCTTTACCAGGAGAAGCTTTCCGCTTTCGTTTACTTTTTCCATTAACTCAGACGTTCTGTAAGTGTACGAAACCACAACAACAATCATTATTATTACCTCATCTCATGGACATGGGTGACTTATGGGTTTTTTTGGGCTTATACATTAATCAAGTCATGTGCGTTAACAATTATTAAGTTTTTCCCATAAGAAATCACCTGACGAGTACATGTTAAGTTGATACCTGAACGCACTCGTTTATCAAATTAATTTTTTGGTTTGTAAAATTAGAAATATTTGTGGAGAAATTTCTCTGAATCAATTCGCATTTCTGCGAGTTTGAGACAAATGTTGGAGGAGTGTTGGTTGGTTTTGGAATCTACTTCAGAGGGCTCTTTGCAAAATTA